ATAATAATAAACAGCACCATAAAAAGTGAATTGTCATGATTTCCGCCGCTTATACAACAAACAAAATCGCAGTCGCAGTCACAGCCACCATTTAATAGAGGAGCGCGAGCTGTGAGCAAAAGTCACGCCTTTAAAATGTAATTTCTTGCCAACACACAATAAACTCTGCAGCCGCCCGACCGAAAAAAAAGAAAAGTAAATACGATTTTTCCCGTAAGAAAATAAACAATCAACGGTGTAAAGAAACCGCACTGCAACAACAACACATGCGGTGGCAACAATAAAACAACAACAACAACAATTGAAAAGCGCCACAAAAATGATTGTATTTCTTAGCGAGCGGCTGAAAAACTTTAAATTAACTAAAAAGAAAAGAAAAATTAAACGAGTTAAGCGCACACTCAGCTGCCCTCTTTTTCATCCTATTTTTAAGCATTTGTGACAAGTTCAAGACATTAAAATTGCGTTTTTCAAAGTAGTTTAGGTCAATGGCAAGCCAGCTTAGATTTAGGTTTAAAAGGCGAACAAACTCGCCGATTATCACTGAGCTTTGTGCCAACAGCGAGGCAACTTTTAATTAAATTTAATTAAAGTTTTGCTCGCCAACTAGAAACAAGCAAAATTGACCCAATTCACATGTGCAGCAGCAAAGAATAATTGTAAATAGCAAAGAATAATTGAAGAACACACATACGCATATACATACATACATTGTACTATTCTATATATGGACTTCGGGGATTGTGTGATGAGTGTGACGAACTTAAGAAACTAAATCACGAAGAGACGAGAAGCTTTAAAGCATCTTAGATCAGATCCTTACAAAAGTTATAGGATGATTCATTAAATGAGTTTGCCCCAAAGAAGTCAATGTTATTAAGATTTTAATTAGATTTCGTCGATCAACTCTTCAATACCTAAACCTGCAGTCTGATCAAATTAAATTGGAAAATGGAGGCAAAAAATGTATAACAAATTAAATCAACTCTATGGCTGTTGAATGACATTATGCTAATTTTTTGTATAATATCATTCTATATTTTAATATGCAGTTACAGAAGGATCTGCCTGCAAGCAAAAAACTTTTAACAAAATGCACTTAACATAACGATAACATTACGAAACAGAAGTCAGCATTAACATTTTGTTGATTAGCAGCAGATAATTGTTGTGCTTTTAGAAGCAGAACTTTCGTTTGGCATTTGTTTTTGTTCGTTGCCGAAGTTTCTATGAGCCTTTTCAACAATTTGAATTCAAATCAAATCTAATGTCGTTTTATCAACTGATTCGCATTTAAATCATTGGTAGGAATATCATATTACCCAACTAATTAGTAGGACCATTATATTGTTACAGATTCTACAGCCCTGGTGTTATCATAACTAATCTTGACATGATTTTCGTGCTTGTTGTAGAACTGGATTAAAATACAAGTATATATAGTATGTACATCAAATTTACGTGAGACATCCTTCGGTTTGAATAAAAAATTGTATTTAATATTAATATTAATATTAATTATAATATTAAAATTGTAACAACGCCATTTGTTTTCCAGAAGTCTTAAATATGAGAAATCACAATACCGAATATATAGGCGTTCATTTCCATCCATACAATAATCCCATGATTTATTTTACGATGCATTTACCTGTGGAATTTCAAATTTGCTTTGAAAATTTATTTGAACAGTTTAAATGTGTTTGCATATCATCAAAGAATATCTCGAAAGTCATTGAAGTTATTTTTGTGAAACATAATTAGCAGCAATAAGTACATTGGGAATGAAAATAGTTTTGGCTTTGCTTTGACAGTTAACCTGATTTATAAAGGTGTCAGCTGAAGAGTGGCAGACAACTATAAAATAAACGACGCCAAATATAAAACACGCCATGCTTCAAGAACTTTTATTTAAACACCTCATCACATCGTAAACTTAAACTATGTAATTGTTCTAACTTTGAGTCCAATAGTTCAGTCTAATGTTAGAAATTTTACGCGTAATTTATGGCCACGTGAAAACAAGCCATTAAATTAGAAGGCAGACATTTGACAAAAACTTGAAAATTTACTTCCCCCTATGGGGAAAATATTCTACTCGAAAATTTATGTGCCGCTCTTTTGGAGGAAAGCGTCTTGTGCTTAGCAGCTGGAAAATTTCTAAACACTCATGGTTTGAAAAGAAAACATCTTGCGTTGCTTTTATTCGTACAACATTTTACACGTTGACAAACATAATTGTTATTATGGCCTTATTAAAACTAAAACAACACAAATAAAAAACATTACTAAAAATAAACAAACAAAAGAATACGAACAGCAGCAGCAGCAGCCGCAACTGCCGAAAGTTCAATGAACGCAACAGCAATCGGTAGTGGCAAGCTATACTATGTATATATGACGGGTTGTTTAGTGATTTTTTGTTTTTGCAACAGTTGGGCGCAAAGTGTTAGAAGTGGGCGTGGGAGGTGCTTTGGGTCAAACCCCTCGGGTAGTCCGAGCGATAAATTGCATACATTTAGTATGTAGTGGATGGAAGGAGGTGAAAAGCAGCCACCTGCTTAGCTCAGTGTGCCAAGAAAATCAATAAGTCTTAGGTATATTGTGGCAAGTAGTGGGAAATGGCCAGCAGATTACACATACGCCATGTGTGACCGGCTGTTCGCTAACATGGCAACGGGCTTGCATGTAAGCCAGTCGGCACGTCAGAACGTCAGTCTCCTGAGTCAGCTGAAGGTGAATGCACGCTAAATTAATCGTATCTGTGTGCATGTGTGTGTGTACTCGTATGTATGCATGTATGCCGAATAAAGTGTTGGTATTATTTTGTTCGCGCGGACTGCGCCTTAAAAGAGACATTTAAAATAAAGAACAAAAGGCGCCGAGCCAGTGCCTGCCTGCGTGCCACAAATACTTTTGTTGTAATTCATTTTAGACATTATTGAATCATATTGGTAAACAAGAATGCTTTGTAAAGTTGCACTAGAGTCAACAATCAAATATTTGCGCATTCAAAGTGAATATTTAAGCCGCTCAATAAATGCTCATATCGAGTGCAGGTGAAATTATTCATCTCAGTTGAGTCAAAAGTCAAGCAATAGAAATGTAAATTCATGCACAATTGATTGTGCGCAGATGTAGAGCGACTTGGACGATAAAGTTCGCTATATATTCGTTATATACTAATAACTCAACATTTTTCAAAAATTGTGGCAAACATCTTCACACAAATTTAATAAATATTTATTTCTTCAATAACTATTCAGGAAAGTTTTTACTTTCTTTGGACATTGCACAAGTCTGTTTTTTTTTTCATTCTTAATAATTATAAATTATTGCTTATGTAATTAAAAATAAAATAAACCTAATTTTCAAATAATTTTTTTTTTAACAATTATAGTAGTAATTTAATTTTCTTCATTTTCTTTGCTCAATCAATATCTTGATAGCTTGAAAACTCTATAAATGGAACTCTTTTTAGCGAACAATGAAAATTAGGTTATAAAAGTTTGAGTGTATTTCTTAAACATGCAAGTATATTGGCATACAAACAACAACAGCATCATTTATAACAGCCTGATAAAAGCTCTTTGATGAACGATAACGTTCGAACAACTCACATTCTGGTAAACAAGATTATTTCACGTCAACTTGAACGCAAGCATAATATATTCATCAATTAAGGGCGTTCCCTTTAAAAAACAAAAGTCCATTATAAGGAAGCTCGAAAAAAAAGAAAAGAAAAACCATATTGTTGTCCAGAAAAATTAATGCATTTAATATGTATTGCCTTGTTTTTGTTTGCATGCAAACTTCAGCGACGCACGCACCGGGTTGGAAAAACTGAGCGTCTATGTTTTGATTAGTTTAGGCTCATTAAGAAAACATAAAATGCTCGCATTACCGCTTAATGTTAACTCATTTATACATACACACAGTCGTGTGTATGTGTGAACCAACAATTGCACGCACTTTAGTCTCACTTTTTAATTAATAACACGTCAGCTGGGCCCACAAAAATGTCTGAGCAGCAACACTATAGTATGTGGGGTGAGTTGGACTTATACTCGTAATTAGGGGTTGCACTTTCAACTGCACATTATCGTGACGTCTAGGGGTTCCTCAGCTTGACTTCTGATGATATATTTAAACTGACGTGACGAAAGCATAAATTATGCAACTATTTCTCTTCGGTGGGTGTGTGCTGCTTTTGATGAATGATAAATGACAATACGAAGGTTATGCAACACGAGTACGTGCGCTAAAGTTTAGAAGAAAGCAAAGTTTTGGGGAAATGTTTGTTTGCTATTTGAAAAAGAAATCAACGTTCTGGGTACGTGCTTGACAAGCAGCAAGCAGATGCTTTTCAGTTAGTGTCTACTAATAGCAAATGAAGACTAACTAAAAAATGCATTTAGACTATGAATGTGACAAATTTGAAGTATTTATTTTATAGAAGATTACTGTGAAGGTAAGCAGATTTTAGGTTTTTGTAAATTAAAATTCAATAACAATGTTTATGCACTTAAGTTTGGTGGAAGCATTATTTTGAATTGGAATAAACAATAATTTAAACATAACTTCTTAAAATTGGCAAATACCCAACATCTAGTAGAGCGCAGATTTGTATAAAAATAAAATTGTCACAGAAATCGTTTACAATCCTATTTGTGTTTATAATGTAAAAGAAAAGTTGCTAGCTTTGGTCACAACCCTGAGCTTATAATATAAATAAATTTAAAAAAAAGACTTAATTTGACAATAAAACCAAACTGCAAATCAATAAAATCCAACAACATGACAACAAATATCCCACATAAGAACAACTTTAAGGAAATGAACCTTTATATATTGAACGCTTAAAATGTAACCTTTGATTTTACATTTACAATTACCAGTATATATTTTGTTTCTAGTAGTAGCTTTTTAATGTTTAATTATAAAATACATTTAGCATGATTTGTCTGTAAAATTTTCAAATTTTCTGCACAACAACTCACCTCTTTTTGGCTTTGCCAACATTGTAAAGTTCAACATGTTTGAATGCAGCATAAGCAGCCATTTTGTGTGTGTTTTAGGATTATTTGATATATGTAGAGTTAAACAATTTATTATATTTCCAGTTGCTTGCTTTATTTTTTATGCCGAAAAAATCTAAATATGCCAGAAACAGATTACAATATAGAGAGTGAGTAAACAAGGACAAATGCCAAAGAAAAAAAGTACATTTTGCAAAAAAAGAAATCTTTTTTTTTTTTTAAAGGGTTGCAGTAAAAGCACAGGACTTGCACGCTTGATGGCACTTCAATGAACAAAAAGGACTTGTAAGTGCAACGGGCGTTGAAAGCACGAGGAGCCGTTGACAAGCTGTCGCTAAAGTTGTTGCTGTTTGTGGGCTTTGTGGCAAGGCCCGAAGTGTGTTAAGTACAACATGATGCTGTTGCAATGTGTGTGATTGTGCTTGGATGATGACTCATCATGCAGCAGCAGAGCGGCTGCCCCGAAAAGGATGCCGTCTCTGCGCTTGTGTGTGTGGGATGCTGCTTTGTGCCTTTCGCCGCGCGTAAAATCAATAGACTTGCGTAAAATGTGCAACTGAGCACAACTCTCGGGAGAGTGAGTCGGTCAGGAAAAACTCTCTGCACCGACGCAGCAGCCAAAAGGGCAGCTGAGCCAAAAAGGATGCGAATGCGGCGGCTGCTGCGGCAACAGAAAAATGCGTGGGTCAGGCCACAGATACTGAATGCCCATATTTTAATTCAATTTTGCAAAAGGTTCTTCCATTTCCTGTAATTTCTGGCACACTCACAGAGTAACAATCAATAAATACGCGAGCTAATACGCACGACTTGTATTCAATTAAAAATTTATACGCACAAAAAACGAACGACGTTTTAGGGGCAAAATTCTCGTCACAGGATAATATTCACTTTAGAGTTTTAAAAACTTTCTTTTCACAGAAATTTTTGGAAGCCAAGTGGGTTTCAAGTTCAGTTCTCAGGGTGCTTAAATGTGTGTATGTGCTTGAACAATGCTTTGCTTTTATTTTTTTGGACGTTGTGAACGTTTCGATATGAAGCTTGCGACTGAAGCGAGTGGGGAAAAGTGAAAAACATTTTATACCACACGGCAGCGCTGACGGCGACGCAAAGTCTTATCGATCCAAAAACAACGACCAAGCCAAGCGCAAACAGCAAGCACTAAAAAACCACAACCAACAAAAACAGCTAAGAGCGCCGTGGCTGCAAAGAGAGCGAGCCAACGCGCGAGCGAGTGTGAGTACGATGTGTGTGTGTGTGTTTGCGGCACGAGTGTCGCACGAGTTGCATGTGCTTGGAGGTGGCTGGTGGGCTGCGAGCATCTGGCAGTGCATCAAAACAAAAACAAACTACAGCTGATTGGAGTTGACGCTGTGGAGCGCCACTCACTCACTTGCTCGCTCTCTTATTCGCGCTCTTCTTTCTTTTTTCGACTGCGTCAAACTCAACATAGCAGCCATGGTGAGTTGGCGTTGATGTTGGAGCTGCTTTGCACAATCAGTGTGTATGTGTGAGGGGCAGCCGAAAATGCAGTTGGCGCTGACTTCCAGCTTTTTCTGGGATGCTGGCCAAATAAACTGCCTCCAAATAGATAATTGATGCATTTTTAAAAGTCATATGCGCTATCTACAGAATTTAACTTTTTAAAGATTATAGACTATGTTCTTATTTAAAGTAATAAAGGTAATTTTAAAAAGCACACGATGCTAATTGTTTTACATTTCTCATGTGTACTAAAATGTTAGTGTGAGGATGACTCTAGTCTTCAGATAACAAGATGTTTAATTAAAAATAATATAAAGAAAGAAAAAATCTGTTAGTGCGGATTTAATTCCGTTCTTAATGTTACTTTATTCAAAAGAAAATGTTTGTAATTCATACCTAAGTTCTGTATTTTGAATTTCAATTCGTCTGTCCATTCATTTAGAAGTATATATTTGGAAGAAGGTATTGTTTTAGAATTTTCTTTTTAGATTACAGATAGTTTCAACTCAAGTAAATTGAGTCAAGAGAAAATGTATGTCGGTCAATGTTTCTGCACATCTTGAATTCAATATTTGAAAACAAATGCATTACTGAAGAAAAATAGGAAAGTAAAGTTTTGTAAATAAAGCGATTTTTATTCAAAAATGAATTCTAAGCAGTTTCAATTCCGTTTTTCAAGTTACTTCATTTAAAAGAAAAACTTTATCGTTTATAAGTTTTGATAGCATGCCACACATCTTTACCTCAATATAATAGCCATGCAGAAACTTTGAGAAATTCTAATGCACATATGTATGTGACTGGAAAGTTGTACATAGTATATATACTCGCATGTATTAAATAGACTACCAAATATGCCTGCACAAGTATAGTATGTAGTTCTCAAAGTCATATTCATGTATCTATGCCACTCAGCTGGTCCGTAGCAATTTCACATTGTTTTATGTATTTGCGTTTCTGCCAAGTAGTTGCCATTGCAAAATAATGAAAAAAAAAGTTGTTCTGCTCTGATGCATCTCACGTTTCTATTGCAATTGTTTTTTTTTTCTTTCGTATTTCGCCGCCATCTCAAGGCACACAGACACAGATATGGCCATCATCCAGCCAGTCTTGACTCGACTACTACGAGTACTGCCCACGTCTTAAACCCACCCAGAGAGCCAAAGAAACAACATTCGTAAATATATGCGACCTACGAAACCATTTTGCAAGTCGTACATTTTGCTGATGAGCTGCCAACATAAATCACTTTCATCATCGGTTGTAGCACTCGATTTTTATGCAGCTACTACATACTATATATACGAGTATGTATGTAGTAGCCAAGTCTAATTTTCAAGTGCCCGCCACTAATGAGGCTGTGACTGGGGCTGAGGCTGCAGGGGCTGCCTAAAAATGCATAGGACTGAGGAAAAAACATCAAAATGAGAATTGCATTTGCATATTTCTGCTTCTTGGAAAGCATTTGGCACACATTCGCTGCTTTTGCTTGGTCCCAGAGAACAGGAAGCTAAAAGGCGGCGGTGTTAGAGATATTTTTAGTATTTTTACTCTACAGCGAAGATGTTTTTGTTTAACAAATAAACACCCAAAAGTTGACAGTGCCCGTCTTGGAATAGACGACCAGACCGGGCGACCCAGTGCAACATGACACCATCGCCAAGCAACTTGCTGCCGGGTTTGGTTGGAGTAGAGCTGCAGCTCGTGGCAGTTGGCAGCTGGAACGGCACTGAGATTGGGAGCTGCGTGTCTGTGTGTGCGTGTGTGTGTGTTGCACGCCTGTGCGTAATGCACTTGCACTCTGCTGACTCTGCTGCCTGCCATGGGGGCATTGGCAACCCACTCTGTGGCAACTAAAAATAGGCGTCGTCTGTTCCAGAGGCGCAAACTGCTTCATCGTTGTCGTCGTCGCCGTCTTTGTCGCTTTGGGGCACGCCTGCCCATGCCTAATAGTCAAGTGTCGTTCAATGTTGTGCGTCGAGTGCATTGGAAGCAATAAAGCAATAGTAAGTGTTAGAGTTGTGCTGCATTGTTCAGTTTCGAGGTATGCTTACTGCGTAAAAATATTACCATATGGTTCAAAGGATGTCCAAAAAAGATTGTAAGATTACAGACTGAAGGATACAAATAGATAAGTACCAAGTTCTTAATGCATACGTTCATTGTTCATAGGAATTGCGCAAATTTTATTCAATTTTTATTTTAAAATTATTAAATGAATGTAATATTTATTGTAAGTAGAACATTATAATTATATTTTAATATTTAATTAAAATCTTGTTCCTAATATAGCGCGGCTGAGCTTCTAAACAATGGGTTCGTAAAAGAAGTACAGTACTTTGTTCCACTTCGGCTCTCGATTAGAACTGATTTTGCTTATAATTTATTTTTCGCACTTGCTAACAATATTGCTACAGATTTGAACTGACCAATTCTGTCGATAAATGTGGTTTGTTTTTTCAAAGAGTTTGATCACCTGGACTAACTAGCTTCGGAATTAGCTAAGAAGTGATCAGAGAACAATGGTTATGCCAAAACTATCAATTAATAAGTGCAGCTCGCGTTCAAATTATATTCCTTAGCTTAAAACTCCATACCTCCATGGGCGAATGTACAAATAGAAATAATTATAATAATGGAACCAAAAATCAATTGAATGATTTGACTTGAATATGAAATTAAAACAAACATTTTAAATACAACCTCTAATATTAAGTTACTGATTTTTTCACAATTAATTAAACTGGGTTGACATCTCTCTTATTTTATATTCTTGACTTGCTTTATCCTCGTCACTTGCAAAATTAAGTGTTAAACGACATAACAGAACAAATCTTCGAACTTTCTTATTGACAAAATCGCGAACTAGTTCTCCTACTGAGCTTTTAAAAATCGATTCGAGGAAAAATCGACACATCTCTTATATATAGTACCTATATGTGTGCTTAATCTTTACCAAATCGCCTGCCTCGGTGCTGTTAAGTGGACGTTGACTAGCATAAAAGTGTGGCATACTCTCCCACTTCTGCCCCAATATGCTCGTAAATACTCGCATGTGTGTGTGTTTTGACTTCGTGGAGTGCCCACACTTGGCACGTGGGTTGCCAGAGTGGCAGGCAGACCGTAGACAGGCGAAAAACAACAACAGCGACAACAATGTGTGTTAATGATAATCAGACAATCATTGACACTTTACATACTCCCATATACTTGTACTAACTTGTGTATACAGATACTACTCTCTTTGAAGAAATTTCAATCAATAATTTGCTTATCAAAGCTTAACAATTTTCAACGCCGGAGCAATAAGCATTGGAGCTGCAGTCCAAGGAAGCGGCTTGAGCGCCATTAGTTGTTGGCTGACTGCCCAAGCAAAACTAATTACCTTGCACAGCAATAACAACAAAAACAACAACAACAACATCGATAATAACAACAGGCCAACGTGGGCCATGGCATTAGACAAAATCAGCAAACTACAACATAATTACAAGTTAATTTTTGTATTTTTTTTACTATCTCTACTACGTGTAGTCTTAACATAAGCGATAAAGTCTCTCGGAAATTGCATTTTCCTCGTTTGATTAAACAGCAGCAGCAACAACAACAATATCAACAACACCCCACCCAGCTCCAAGTGCAAGCTGCTCCAATGGAGCAACTAACAATTGCCAACTAGGTAGGCGAAAATAAAAAAAATCTTGTTTATGCACCGGCTTTTCCGACGACCACCAACCACATCATCCATCTATACACCCCATGTTCATGTTCATTCATTTGTGATTTTGTTGTTGCGATTTATATACATATTTTTTGTTGCTTTTCTGGAAATTACACTTTTTGTCACAATTTGTTCGGGCTACGGTGTGAAATATTTTTGTGCTAGCTATTTGTAGTTAATTTTTATGGCATTTCAAGCATTTTAATTTAAACATTAAATATTTTTAAATAGCGCTCGAGGGAAACATTTTCTCCGTTGAAATGGCCAAGGAAGTTAAGTTGAGCAGCCAGTTTAGCGTTTCCGACTATCATCAGTTAAAGACTGATTTATTACCCAAATATTGCTGCTGAGACTGAGAAACTGTAGAGTTACGTATGCATTTGAATTTAGTTTTGAAAAATGTAAACCTGCTCTGCAGGTCTATAAGTTGAATCTTTAAGATAAGTTTTAGGTGAAGAACGTTCGGACATTTTGGTAGTAAAGCTGGGATTTCAACTAAAAAGCGGCATCAACTATTTCCATTTTCTTAACTATTCCGATAACATTTGATTTTTTGTAATGTAATTTTTTGTAATGTTATTTCAATTCGATATAATTTTGGCTTAGGCTTAGACCGAATTTCACAAGTAAGTCATTTGCGAGGAAAAAATATTGTTTCAATTATGAGCAGGATAAATAAATAGGCTTCTTTACCGAGAAGAAGAAGCAGAGGCTGTCCTAATACTTATGACTAGATCAGTATTTGGTAGAGAGAGAGAGGACTCTGACATTGGCATGAACACGCTCCAAAGATTCAAAATATATACTACACAAAATTTGGAATATTTA